TCGCTTTAAGGAAGCACCGTAGGTGGCCCACTCTGGTCACCACTCTGACTAGTGCATGTCAGGGCCGCCAGGAAGTAAAATGAGGGTGGGACTGATCACGGTGAGGCTACTAGGTGGTGTCTACAGTGTGGAGACGCCAGACCGAAGGCTGGTTCACGGAGGAGGGGAGGGATGGGATGGAGACAGATTGCAGCATCACACCTACTCAGAGGGTGGGCTATTTACAGCGTAGGAACCGCTTTACTTCTGAGAAACTGAGCCCGCAGAAAGTGAAATGGCGGGGAAGGGGAGGCCGCCGTACAGCATCACAGAAAACCTGCTCCGCCACCGAAGAAACCCCCCCGCAGGAACACAGACCCTTCCACCCGGGGTTCCCCGACTTGTCTTCAAAAACTACGGGTGCCAGGACCCCACCGACAAAGGGATGGACTGTGGTTCAGGAGATTCCATTCACTGAACCGAACCAGTCAGGGCCCACAGGCCTTCAAAGGATAACCCAGCTTCAGCCAGGCTCTGCAAAGAAAGGGCCCAAGGGGGAGGGCAGGCGGTGTGCTGGACTATAGCCAAAAGCGACACCAGCGCCTGGCCCTCCCCTGACCCCCTCCCCCTTCCCAGTTGCCTGTTCTGCCTCAGCAACAGGATGCATGAGGCAGCAGCCCATCTAGTCTGGCAGGCAGAGCGGCCGGAATCTGCCCCAGACTTCAAATGCTGCCACCCTGCATGTAACCCCTGCCTGACTGCCAGCCTCATTCTTTCTGGGACAAAAGGGGTTTTAGCTGTGAGCCCTTCTCCACGGGGCGGCTGCCAGCAGCCGGAGCTGCTGTCCAGGACTGATCTTCCCGGTGTGGGTGTGCCCCAGGTGAGCGGGCCCCAGCCCTGAGTCACCATGCTGGCATTTACCGAGATATGGACTGGGTCCCTAGAGATTAGACGGTCACTACTCACCCGTGGCCAGGGGAGCAAGGAAGGGTCACATGTGCTGGTCCATCTGACTCATCCCTCCAAGCCTTAATGCTCTTGGCTACTTGGATGAGTTCAATCCACCCCACCCCCACCGGGCACTGGAAAGCTCAGTGCAACCACTGCTGCTTGTTCCCAGGCAGGGGAAGGGGACACCAAAAACCCAGCCACAGGTGCCCGGGCGCCGTTTGCCATCACCATCCCGGCCCAGACAATGCATAACAACTGTTCATGTGAGGCTGAACAGCTTTCCTTAAGACATGGAGCAAGCTTTCCCAAGGACCCAATTTTCAGACCACACGGGTATTTTTGAATACTCCTCTGAGACTACCCCAGAGGACAGCAGGGATCAAGGAGGATTCCGGAAGCGGCTGCTGAAGTAAGGACACTCCCAGCACTCAGACACAACTCTGCAAGGGCCTCCAGACCTAGCCAAGGAGTTGGGCTCCCTTTGGATGCTGGGACGGTCTCCCTCCAATAAGCAGGACTTGGCACGGCCAAGAGATGGCCTCTGCACTGAGTCCCCACTGCTTCCCACCGCCCTCCCTGGAGGCCCCCGTGCCACCTCTTCGGAAGTTTAAACAAGTACAAGCGGTGGCTGGCCTCCACCACGCCCTGCCCGCACCAGGGAGGTCTGCACGGGCGAGGCCCCGCCAGCGCCAGGCGCTTGAGTAGATAAAGGAGAAGGAGGCTGGAGGGTGGGTGAACCACCTGGAACTTCCAAGGGAGAGGGTGTTTCTTTCGCCCTCCCGCTCACCAGGACAGCAGGCGCGCTCAGGATCAGCCCCCTCCCCGAAACCGCAGATGGGAGCTGCAGAGATGGCAGCGTCTAGCACATGCGTTTAACCGCCAGGGACACAGGGAAAGCTCCGGGAGCCAACAGCAAGCCGAACGGAGAAGCTCCTGTCAGGGCCAGACCTCTCCTCCCCAGGGGGTCTTCCTAGGCCAGGGCACCTCCCAGTACCAGGGCCGGCTCTGGGCTTGCTCTGGGGGTTGTAGAGTTGGGTGCCTTTCAAAAGGCACCGTCCTACCCACACTCAGTCCTCTGCCCCCAAAGTGCACACGCTCAAAAAGCCCATCGACGCGCGGTGAGAGGGGCCCAGCCCCGCCTGCGGCCACCGGTCTGCAGTGTCTGCACACCGGCCTGCCGCCTGGGGTGGGCGGCACCGCCCGCCAGCGCGCCTGCGCACACAGCCCGCCCGGCCCAGCGCGGAGCCATCCATCTGTCTGGGAGCGCCGGCTGTCAGAGACGCAAGCCCGCTCTCCTGGAACCCGGGCCCAGCCTGCTAGAAATGTGCCGCTTTCCCAGCTTTCCCGGGCCGGGAGGCGAGCAGGGCTGGTGTGCTGGCTGCGAGGCCCGCCCGAAGGCCAGGGCCTGTCCCCTGGAATTCCGCCCCGCAGCCAGCAGGCCGGCTCCCAGGGCCCCGGCCGCCCACTCCCCTTCCTCTCCCCTTCCTCGCAGGAAAGGGCAGGGCCCGCCTTGGAATCACCCTGCCTTTCAGGAGGGGCATGCCTTTGGGCGCGGCCCCACCCCCACGGCCCAGGCCCCACATTTTCACATTCGGCTGTTTTTCATTCCCTTCTTCCCGTGCCAAGAGCATCAAGCCCTGGCTCCCGCTGTCGACCTGCCGCCCACCCTAAACTGAGCCCCATTCATTAAGGCCGCTCCCGGCCAGGGCAGGACAGGAAGGAAAACAGCACACGGGGCCTGTGAAAGAGACACTCAGAGAGGCTATTTCAAGGCGGAGGAGGGGAAGGAGGGGGCAATCCTGGTGGGCGCTTTCACCGCTAGAACCCTGATGCCCCCTTTCCCCTCGCCCCCCAGAGCAGGCTCTCACCCCCTCCTGCCTCTGCTAACCCCTTCCCCTGCCCAGCCCCCTCCTGGGCTCTGCAGCCACCGCAGCCCCCAGTGGCCTCATCCTCTGCAAGGCAGACACACCCAGCCCTGCCACCCGCCACCCGCCACCCCCCCCCCCCCCATGGAAAGATCAACTTCTTGAAGAGGAGGCGGCTTGGGCTGTCTCCATTTACAAAACCCTCTGCCCTGGCCCGGGGCCAGTACAATCATCTTTTGGGGGGCATTCTCGATACTAAGGGTGCAACCCTAGGCTTTCTCCGTGCCCATCACCTCCCCTCCAGACACCCCCAAACCGCTGGCACCATCCCAAAACACAATTTCTTCAATTTCCCCCCACGGCTCATTATTAATAAACTGCTCCAACTCCGAACGGAAAGAAGAAAGAGCTCAAACTTTGAAGCCTTGGGAATTAGTAAATCAAGGGCTAAAATTCAAAACAAATGCTCTTTCATGTTGGGGCCCCCCTTTTTTTCCCTCTCTGCAGTTTTGTTAAACCACGGGATCCTTTCAGAGGCAAGCACGCCTTCCTAGCAGCTCCTCATTCATCTAACTGGCTGCAATTGGGGGGGTGGGGGGAAGGGCACTGGATTAATAACTGTTTTACCCCCGTTTCCTTCTAGAACTGGAAAAGCTTTTGGGACAAGAAGCCCACCCATCTCAGGAGGGGCCAGACGGGGTGTCCTGGTTAGTGGGGCGCACAGCGAGGTGTCGTCACTTCCTCCAGCAGAGGAGACAGACAAGATGTTATCAATCAGACAGACCTTCCCAAGGCCCCTTTCAAAGCTGCCACTTCCCCTGCTCACTTCATGTGGTTCAGAGGGGCCGGGTGCAGGATTTAAAAAACGAAACCATCTAACAGCATCCTGAGTTGTCTGCCATCTGCCCAGACCCTCCCCAATCCTCTCCCCCCCATTCCTCCTTCACCCCCCCCCGCCCCCGCCCTTCTTTCAGGAACTCTCAGAGCCTTAGAAAAAGCAGGTAAGACGCCGTTCTGGCATGGCCACGGGGCCTCCCCTCCTTGCAAGCTCTGGCTCACTCCCATCCTCCCACCCGCCTAAGCCCCCTCCCCTCTAGGGGTCCCTCTTTGTCCTGCTCAGTTTTCATTAGGAGCTTTGAGTAAACAATCCCTTCAGTCTCAGATAACACTCAGAGTATATATTGCATAGAAATAAAAACAAACAAGGTCTCCCTGAAGACACTCTCGCAAGCTCCATTCCTGGAGAGGCGCTGGGCGGAGCCTGCCCGGGATGACCTGGGCCCGAGTGACGCTGGACCAGTCAATCACCTCACTGGAGAGGACGCACCACAGCCCCCCAGAGAGTCTACAGCTTCCCTCTGAGCTGCCAGGGTCCGACACCAGAGTCCCAAAGGCAAGAAAGGACAAATGCCCAGACTCCGCTGGATTGTTCCCCCGGGTTCCTTTACTCTTGCTGGAGCTAGTTTTTAGAAAACCCAGTGGCGGCATCCTGGGGCAGGAACGACGGGTGGAAACAGAATGGCTTTGGAAAGAACAGCAATCAATGCCTCTCGGGTCCACTGCTAGTGAGTTTCTCCAAGTGGATCATTCTCTTCTCGTCTCAGGGACAAGCATGCTCCGGCTGCCCAACACCTCCCATCCAATCCCATAACCCCCAGCTCCAAGGAAAACCCTCCCTCCTGGGTAGCAGTGTTAGGGCCTGTGTCTCAGTGCCCAGACCCTGTCCCTGCAGCATCCGGCCCTGAGCTGGATAGGGAATGAGGACTTGGAGAAGCATCAAGGGCATCTACTCTGAATGCCCATCCTACGCTTGGGATCTGTCTTCGATCGCCCAAAGCTGAAAGGACAAGAGCAAAAACCAGACCTGAAACCTATGAACTAATGACCACGCAGTCGCCAAGTGGAAGCCTCCCCTCCCCCAAGCAGGAGTTGCTTAACAACAACCATAAAACACAGCACAACACGGGCCCCAGGTGGACCCCATTTCCTCATCCAAGGAGCAGCCCTGTGTCCTGGTGTGTTAGGGACTTCAGCATGATGAGCGGAAGGGCCCCACCGACACCAAGATCACATCCAGTTTAATGCACAAAAAAGTGAGACCCCCAGACCAGCTGGGGCAACAGAAGGCCGGCCACGCCCCTTCCTCCGCCTCCAGTAATTTCAAGGTCTTGGAATTTGCCAGGAAAACCCGAGAAGGTGTCTTACCTGAAAGCCCCCCAGGGGCCAGATAATTCGTTCCCCCTGTTTCAGCGGAGGAAGGCACAGCATCTGGACAGTCTGCTGTGGATTTGAAGAGGGGAGAGAAATAAGTACACAAATAAATAAAAACACCAAGATTAATTTTTAAGCACATTCTAACCAGCATTAAAGAGAAACCACACATTCCAAAGGGCTGACTCCCAGCCACGGGGCTGATTATGAATGGGCTGCTCAGGGCTCACTGCCCATCATAAGACAGACCACAGCACCTTGTCACCCGTCTGGGCTCCCAGGGCCAGTTAATCATTAGTCAAGTCAGGCTGGACGGCAGACTGGCTGGAATTTCTCTTTCATTGCAAGTCCCCCATTGAGGAAACCAGGGAGTTCCCAAGGTCAAAGGAGGCCCAGGTTCTAACTCTCACCCCTGGCAGCCGTCTTCCTGCCATGGATCCCAGGGACTCCTTGCCTGGACCCAGGGGCCTCTCTGCCAGCCCCACGGTCCAGTGTCTCACCCTCATCTTTTTTCAAGACAAACGTCCCGGTTCTTAGGACTTTCTCAAGACTGGTGTCGGGCTAAGGGGCTTCTTTTTCCTTTCAATGGAGGGGCAACAAATACAGGAGAGAACCCACCTCTCGAGCCCAACTCAATGACCCGTACTCATGCGTGCGTACATCTGGGGCGAGCCACCACCAGATCAAGACCCAGAACATTCCCAGCAAGACTCCCCAGCCAGAGGGGAAATGCTCTCTGCCTGCTTCCAGGCCCAGTCCAAACACCCCGTCTCTGGAAACCTTCCCGGGCAACCCCGGGCCTGCGAGGCTCCCTGCCCTCGCTTCCTGTAACATCTTTCTGGCATCCAGCGCTTGGAGTTCCCTTCTGCTGTCTGGACCGGATCCTTTACCTTCAGATGCTGCCTGTGCTAACTACACTAAAAGCGTCTCTTCACGCCTTTGAACCCTCAGGTACTAGCCCCAGCAACCTGCAAGTCAATGAGGGTAACGACAAAACCGAGGAATCGACTTACCAACTTCCCTCCGAGCAATGAAAATAAAAAAATAATAATGCCCGCGAATCGGAACTAATTAGTCCCAGGAAACAAAACTACACCAGACCCTGTCTTACTGAAATCCAGCGAGAAAGGCCTGTTCGGAGAAGGGGAGCCCTGGCTTGGCAGCAAACGCCACTCCAAGGTGGTTGTGGCAGAGGCCAGTCCCCGGCCCCAGGCCCCTAGCAGGAGGTACTGGGATGTGTGACACAGTTTCCCTCTGGAACCACTGGGTCCATAGGAAACCAAGCAAAAGAGCAGTTTGGAGGTCAGTAGCTCATGGGAGCCTTTTACTGACCCCGCAGCTGTTTCCATGACCTGATCAAGGTAGGGGGCCTGCAGGTAACCCCCAAGCACCTCTGGGTTTCCGCTGCCGACCCTCCTGTCTCTCTCTAATCCCTCTCCAGCATTCTCTCAGGCTGGAAAAACAACTTTTCAAGAACTCTCTTTAACCCGGGGAGGGGGAGATGAGGAGAGGTGGGAGGCAGGGAAGAGACAGGCTGTGGATCAGTGTAAAGTACAATTCCTAACAGGAATATACAGTTTTACAGGATACACTTAATCAAATGGAAAACAATGGGGGAGGGCAGGAAATGGAGTTGCTTGTTACACGGCGTGTCCCCTGCACTTTTCTTATCTACCTGGACGGTCTTTACATGTCCTATGGGTTGGCTGCTACCTACCCCCAAATGGAAGACACTCCCACATCAACCGTGATGACTTACCCAGGGCGCTCCCCCCACCCGGTCTTGGCTGGCTGAATCCCAGGGCAAGGTGTGTTTCAAAGGAAGGGCCTGGCCTCTCGGAGCAGAGCCGGGACCACATTCAGGGTGTCGGCCTGTCTCAGATCAAAGGTAAGCCAGCTCCACACTGGCAACCACAAGCGTTTTTTATGAAATGGTGCTCTGCCCTTCTGCAGAGTCTTTGATCTCAGGAGGGATTTACAAACATTAATTAGGCCTTCCTACCACCCCTGTGAAGTAGCAAAGTATACCTGTTCGACTGGCACCCAGGTAAACTGAGGCGTCACTGACTAGCACAAGGGACCACCCGGGGCGCTGGGCCATCCCCAAGGGCTCAGCACCTGTCCCAAACGCTCCCTCCCCAGGCCACCAGAGCCCCCGCTCCCTGCCCTGCAGGTAGGCAGGCTAAGGGGCCTCAGCATCCCGACTGGCCCCAAGCTACTGCCAGGCGTCTAAAGTAAGGTCAAGGCAGCCACACCTCCATCGCTCCAGCAGAGAACAGCTGCAGCCAGGGACTCCGCTGTGGCCAGTGATGCCCACTCCCCAGAGCCCAGGCTGGCACACACTCCTAAAGCCTAACTATTACCAAGCACCCAGCAAGTGTGGGGCCTGTGGGAGATCCCTCCCTCTCCCAGCAGCGAGTCCCAGAACAGCGGTCGCCAACCTTTCGTTCCTCACGGACCACGTGGCCCACGGACCACCGGTTGGCGACCAGGTGGGGACCGCTGTCCTAGATGCAAGCCTGGGGATCGGTGGAGGAGTGCAAGGGGAGGAAGCTGGGCTCCCACTCCCCTCACCGAGGGAATGGTTCCAGAGCCAGGATAGTCTCGTCAACTTAATTCCGAGTTTCCTAAATGCTGTCCTCAGGACAGAAGACGCACGGCCATCACCAACACCATTAAACACCGAGTGTCCCAGCTCTGCCCCAATCCCTAACCCTGGTCACAGAAGGACAATCTACTGCATCGGAAGCATCCCAGTTTTTAGGCAGGTGCATCCTCAGGCCTGCAGAATGAACAAACAAGCCAAAAACTGAGCCAACGAATGGCAACTCTTTCACCATCTGGACTTATAAAGAGGCCTGGAAAAGGTCAGAGTAGACCGAGTTAGCAGGTAAAGGCGGGTTAGGTCTCTACCTTCTCAACTAGACTTTGGAGGCTCCATCTGCCAACTAACACTAGCTACCGGGGCCTAACACCCAGCAACACCCTCTCCTCAGCCATTCTTCAAACCATGGGGCACAAACAAGGGGCAGAGCCTGCCGAGCATTCCCCTCCACAAAGTGAGATCTAATTGCAAACACCATGCCCTCGCCAACGAGGGAAGGAGAGGGTCTTCCTATCTTCCGACTGCGCAGGGCACACAAGTCACTCGGTCCCTAGGTTCGGCCATGTCTAGCCTAACGCTCCTTCCCAGAAAATGCCGCTGGCCTGGGACAGCCTGGCACTCAGGCCAGGCCCTCACAGAGGGGGCAGTGGACCACAGCGAAACGGAGCGTGGCTCTTAGCCCGGAGTCCCTCCGAGGACTGCAGGTTGGGACCCAACCCCCTTCCCACTGCCTCTTCCCAAGTTGGAGACTTCACAGAAGGGATTCCCTCAGCTGTGCAATTGGTTAAGATTTTAACAGTTGTCCGTTGTAAAAAGCCTTAGGACTGGTTCTCACCTAGTAACCCAAGACCGAAAATTCCACCCAGAGCTCAGAAACTTAAGAATGTAAGCGGCAGCCCAGCCGGCGTGGCTCAGTGGTTGAGCGTGAACCTATGAACCAGGAGGTCAGGGTTCGATTCCCGGTCAGGGCACATGCCCGGGTTGCAGGTCCAGTGTGGAGTGTGCAGGAGGCAGCTGGTCAATGATTCTCTCTCATCTCTGATGTTTCTCTCTCTCTCTCCCTTCCTCTCTGAAATCTATTTTAAAAGTAAAAAAAAGAATGCATGTTAAGTGGCATATCTAAATTTCCCAGCCAAATCTAAATTTCCCAGCCAAATATTCTTCTCCCGCGTAGAAGGTGAGGAGGAAAACCTGGGGCAGCCTCCCATCTGGGGATCTGACCTCATCAGCCCTGGGCCTGGTAGCCAGCAAAACCAGCCCATGGGTTCCCTGGGGGCTTTCCCGTCACCACCCTCCATGTCCTCAAACATCACCTCCTTTCCTTTATTTCTTTTTCTTTTTCTTTTGGTTTTATTTTAAACAAAGCGTTTTGGGTGAGTAACCAGCTGTTTGCGTTTCCGATTGGCAGGTTAATCACTTCCTATTGGCTGGTCTGCAGAACTTCTCTCCCCCTTGGAAATGGCACATCCCTGTCTTTGTGGCTTCTCTGTTTACACACATTTTGCTACCTAATGTCAACACTTGTTAATGAATAAATATATCACTCCGGCTCACTGAAACCGTCCTGGCCTGGCAGGATGGCTGCTTAAATCCGGTGAGTGGGCTTACTCGGGTACCTCTGCAGGAAACGCGGGAGAATGCAACCCTTTTCTCCTAGGGCTGTAGGTTTCTGGGGACATTTTACCCTTAGTTGCCTTTACCCGGGGGGGGGGGGGGGGGGGGTGTCAAGGTGATTGGTCTGTCTCTCTTTTGGGGGAAACCTCCAGATTTGAAGACTATGAAAGAAAAAACAAAGACGGATAGAAGTGGCTTCTGTCGCACTAACCTCAGGAAAGAATTCTTGAAGCCAAAAAAGCCCATCAAAGTTATTCTTTGAGAAAACAGGGCTTGATAATTTCAGTTACCGTTTGCTACAAATGCAGAGAGCTGGTTATCTCCTCATTAATGACCATTTATCTGGTGTTTAGTAAATCGAAAGCAAAATATCACATGCTTTGCAGGCCACTTATTAGGCAGGCACCCGGCAAGCAGCAACGCCTTCCGGACTTGAGGGAGCAGCGTGGAGTCCCGGGAGGGCTGCGGGCTTCGGTTACACCGTTCATTAAAGTATTTAATTTATGACAACGCCCCAGCAAAACTTTTAATTAGTGGGGGGAAAGCCCAACAGGCAAAGCTCAGGAGGCCAAGGGCTTGCAGAACTCAAAGAGCGAAATGAGGCCCAACCCTTCACTTTTCTCAGAACCTTGGCAAAAAAATAACATTCTATTTTCCAGGCATCCAGTACACAGGGCACAAAGTTACAATCACTACCCTTCAGCCGAGGAACCTCCACGGGAAGAAGGGGCTCCTGGACACCTCCACTGCCCTGCCTTGCTGCCGGACCCTCCTCCCCCAGGGAATGTCCGCCCCATAGGGTGAGCCCTGCACTGCCAGCCAGGAGTTGAATGCAGACAATCACAACAGAGCTGGTGCCAGTCTCCAATGAGCTTTTGCCCTGGCCCCATGCCACCCGGTGACAAAGCAACAGGCAGGCAGAGCTATGCCAGAAACTTTTATAGCCCCGACCTAGAATTCGGAGAAAATCCGGGAGGAGTGCTGACTTGCCGGGGAGGGAGGAGAGGAAACCCATGAGGGTGGTTTTGTCTCGGCCTCTTCAATCTTCTAACCTTTTACTCCCAACAAGTCATCTCTGGGCCCTTTTAAACCGCCTTCCCTTCCTCTGAATTACCCATGCCTCCCACTGACTCCACTGGCACTCAAAAAGCCTCCAAATTCTCCCGTCAACCTGTCCTCTCTGGCTCCCAAGACACTTCTGCGTTCCACGTGTTACACTTGAGCCAATTTCGGTGCCAATATACATGAAACAATATAACAAAGTATAAAGCACATCTTAGAAACTTATACATGTTATATACATATTACATACACATTGTATACATATTACATACATATTGTATACACATTATATACATTGTATAATACAATATATACATATGTATATAACATACATATGCATACATAGAATCTCCAGCCACAACAAAAACAAAAACCCAAACTTTCAACACAGGAAACAACGTATAACCACCTCCAGGCAGCCCAGCACCTCCCCAGGCCGCTGCCAGGGCAGAAAAACCCGCATTCGAGAGGCTTGTGTGCCTCACTTCAGAGAGGGAGGATATTTTTAAAATCATCTTACTCACCAGTTGGTTTGAGAAAATCCATCGGGTATCTGGAGTAAGGAGGAGGAGGAGACTCTGGAATTAAGAAAGTAAGAGAAAATAAATGCCGGGCCATGAGAACCAGAGATAAAAACTTATGATAACAGAGGCATTCTTTTAGCCCAACTGTTTGTCTTAGCTGTGGGGGTTGGAGGCAGGGCCGCGAGGCGGTGATTGCCTTGATATTTAGCTGTCAGATAAACAAAAGAGGCCGCCTGGCGCCAGCCGCGGGCTCCGCTCCTCCGCGTCTGCGGACGCCGCCGCGGCGCTCCCCGGCCCCGCTGGAAACCACCCGGCCCGCCGCGGCTCCGTGGGCCGCGCTTCGGTTCCCAGGGCGGGGGGCGTCAGGGCCCCCCCCCCCCCCCCGTCCCCGAACTTCAGACCCAACTCCCACCGCCCGGCCCACCCCCGCCGCTCCGGGGGGCACCCTGCTGCCCTTTCCCAGCCCAACCCAGAGACACCCCAAGTGCTGGTGAACTTAGGAGGGTCTGTTGGCAGGGGGGACCCTCCCCCCACCCTGCTGGCACGGGGGGGGGGGGGGCACCCTTCCCCCACCCTGCACCCAGACCCAGAAAAAAGGGAAGCAGTGGAGGAGGCCGAGCGGATAAAGAGGCGGCGGCGGGGGTCTCCGTCCAGGTCCGGGGGAGCTGGCAGACCACCCCTACCCGGAAGGCTGTGCTTTTCGGGGGGGGGGGGGGGAGGGGGGCTGGGAGCAATCAACTTCCGATTGCTCGTTCTCTACAACCCTGGGCTGGCCGAGTGGAGGAGGGTCGAGTGGCGAGGGTTCGGCCTCCCATCCTAACCCTCCTTGCCCCCAAACCCCTCAAGCTGCGCGGCCAGGGCAGGCAGTGTGCGGGCCCCTGAGCCCCAGTGGGGCTCCCCTTATGTATGGACTCCAGGAGCAGAGACTACTCCCCAGCCTTTACAGCTCGCTTTTCCCTCCCAGCCTTCCTTGGCGGGCTTGGACCAAATCCAACTCGGCCACACACCTCAACGCCTTTCCGGGTGCGGGGGAGGCGTGACCCCTACTTCTCTCTGCACCCCTTAGCTGATCCGGAAGTGAGCACGTCTAATGTCTCACCGCCTTCTGCAGCGTGTGCACCGGCAGTGCCCCCGCCGCCATGGGCACAGCACGGGGGAGAAACATCTGTAAGGGAACCCCAGGGAACGCCCTCCCGTTCCCCTGTCCCTTCCTCACTGGTCCCCAAAAGTCTTCTCTACCCGGAAGGGCTGGGCACTCCCCTCCCTCCGGAGCGGTGGCCCCTCGCACACAGCCCACGGGGGCTCTCCCTGCATCAGCCCTGCAGCGCCAGGGGGAGCGGGTGGGCGCCCCACAACTTCTTACCGAGTTCGCAGAGTCGGCTAAGGTGATGGGGGTTGCAGCACACCAGCTCGGGGTTGATCTTCCCGTAAGATTCACAGCAACACAGCCTCTTGACTTCCGAGGAATGCCTGAGATCCGGCCACCTGAACACTTTGCACAGCAGGAGGGGGAGCGAGTAGGACGAGGGCGGCTGCTGGGCGGGCTGCGAGCCGGCGGGCGCCCCCGGGCCCGGCCTGCAGTCCAGGCGGCCGGGCAGCAGGAGGCACGCGGTGCGCGTCCCGCCGCGGGACTCCACGGCCTGGAGCAGCAGCTCCAGCTGCCGCTCCTTCAGTTTCTTGAGCACCGAGTGGGTGAGCGCCTTCAGATCCGCCTCGGCGCACCCGGCCGCGCCGGGGCCCGCGGCTGGGGGGTGGGGATGGTGACCTTTGGCACCTCGGACCGCCTTGCCCAGGCAGCAGCCAGCCCTGCCCGCGCCGCCGCCACCGGCCCCATGTGCCCGTCCGTCCGTCGTCCCTTCTCCCCGCAGCTCGCCGCCTCCTCCTCCTCCACCTCCCCCCGCGCCCTCCTCCTCGTCCTCGCCGCCGGGCGCACGGCTCCTCCAGAGACGCCGGACGAGCGCAGATCGTTTGGTCCTGAACATGCGGGGCGAGGAGGCGAGGAGGAAAGTCGTTTGCCGGCTAAGGAGCGAACATGACCTCCGCACACCATGAAGAAGTCGGGCGCCGAGTTGGGGCAGCAGGCGCAGGCGGCAGCAGCAGCAGCAGGGGCCCGGGCAGGAGCGGCGGCGGCCCGAGGGGCGCTCCGTGGCATGCGCCAGTCTCCCGGAGGCCGGGGCGCGCGCGGGGGCCCGGGGGCGCCCGCCGGGGCTCGGGGGCCTGCGCTCCGGCTGCCCCACCCCGCGCGGCCCGCGCCGAGCGCTGCTCTCGGGCCCCGGCGCGCCCCGGAGGAACGCGGCCGCCGCTTCCCTGGGGCCGGCGAAGCCTGCCGGGGTCGGCGCCTCCCCAAAAAGAGGCCCCCCCGCAGCGGCTCCCGACGGTCGGGCTCGCCAGCCTCGGCTTCCTACATGGAAGATCCGCGGGGGCAAGAAAAAAAAAAAACACAAAAAAACGGAAGGCGTTCGGCTGAGCTGCAGGAGGGAGGTAAAAGCCTCTTTCCCCCTTGCTAAGCAACTTAATTTGGGGGTGGGGAGAAGCAGGCAATTTAAAAAAAAAAAAAAAAAACAGGCACGCGATTTATTTTTTCCCCTCTATATCCTTAGTAACCGGATCTCCTCGAATTCCGTGCACACGAAGACTCGGAGGAGGGGGCCGAGTGGACTTCACCCCGCATGCGATGTCTGGCGAAATAAAGGCTCAGAATCTAAGAACCAAATATGCAAAAAGCCCAAAATGAAAAACACCACCACCTCCTCGCACCCCGGAGATCTGGAGCCGTCAGACTTGAGCTGGGGTTTAGGGAAAAAAAAAAATGTTTACAAAGTAGAACAAGACGTTTGAAGGGTGGAAAAAATGTATCCACGAGTTACAGCTCCCCCTTTTCCTTGCAGATCCCCGCTGGTCTTCCTCTCCTTTTCTTCTGGCAAAAAAAAATTTTTTTAATCGTGTATCTTTTTTAATCCACAGAAAGCTTTGGCGAGGCTCCTCCAATCCTCCGCGTCTGGGTGTTTTAGGGGAGTCTCTGGTCTCTCCTCCTTCGCTCCCAGGAGCTCCGGTCCTCGGCGGGGACTTCCTCGGGGCCGGCGGGGGCGCAGAGGCAGAAGATGCTGCGGCGGCGGCGCCCGGCGGGGCTGACAGCGCGGGGGAGGGCGGCGCGGCGGCGGCGGGCCCCCGGCGGGTCGCGCGCTCTCGCCCTCCGGAGCGCAAGCTGCCGGCTAGTGCGGGGGCCGCCGGCGCCCCCTCCCCTGGCCGCTGCCGGCCGCCGAGCTCTCGGTATGGGCTGCTCGCCTCCACCGGCTGCGGCGGCAGGAGGCCCCGGCGGTGTCCTCACGCCGCCTCCTCCTCGGAGAGTCTCTCCTCGTCGCGCCGGGAGCCTCCTTGTCCCCCGTCCGCCCTCTCCTGGCGCTGGGGTCCTGGTGCCGCCGCGGGGGCTCGCCGCGCCGCGCCGCGCTCAGGGGCTCTGGGGCCGGGCTCTCGGCAGCTCGGCGCCGGCGGGCGGGCTGGCTCTGTCTGGAGCAGCTCTCCGCGCGGCGAGCGGACCGAGCGAGGCGCCCGGCTGGCTCGGCTGGCGCGGCTTCGGGGACAGGATCCTCCTCGCGCCGTGCAAGCGAGTGAGTGTGCCCCAGGCTCGTCGCCTCCCGCAAGGCCTCCCGCCCCCGCCCCCTTCCCTCCTCCTTCCTCCCCCTTCCCGCCCCCGCCCCCAGCCGCCGCCGCCTCCCTCCCCCCCACCCCCCGCGGGCCCTCTGCTCTGCTGGTTCCACTGCGCAGTGGCGCGCCCGGCTCCGGCCTCGTCACGTGGCCGTCTAGACACCCTGTCGCTTTAAAAAAAAAAAAAAAAAGCGATTGTGTTTCGCAAACAACAGATCGGGTTTCTGAAAGCTATTTCTTCCCCCCGCCCCCCACCCCTCCCCGCCGCCGCCACCCCCTCCGGGGTTTGCAGAGAGGGGAGCCTCGGTGGGGGGTGCGAATAAAGGTGGGGAGCAAAGGAGCTCCCCGAGTCGACTGAGCTCTGGCGGCGGGATCCGAGGGGAAACGGGAAGCCCCGGGGGCGCCCAGCGGGCTTCGCGGACGAGTTTTGGAGCCGAACGAGGCGGTCGGCGGCCCGATGGAGACTCAGCCCCGTGGCGCTTTCGCGGTGGCTGTCCCGCGCGCCGGCCCTGGCGCTTCATTCATTCGTTTTGTTTTAAAGGCCCTGGCGGCGGATCCCCTGGCCGCGCGGGAGGGGTGGGGGAGGAGAGCGCTGTCTCGGTGTAAGAGACGCTTACACCGGCCTGGACCGAGGCCCCGGGAGGTGTGCGCTGGAGGGAACAGCCGGGCCGCCGAGGGCGGGGAGGCGGCGCGAATGTGACCTCAGCGGCGGGCGCGCGCTCCCTCCCGCCCGCCCTCTCCCGCGCCGAGCTCGGGTTTCTAGGACTGCCTGGAGAAGTGTGTCTTGTGCACAGCTCTGGAATGCATTTGGCTGCCTGACGAGCTGCGAGGGGCAGCATCCAGGCGAGAGAAGGGGAGCGGGAGGGGCTCGCACGCCCGCCCGCGGCCCGCAGGTTTCCTCTGGAGCCCGGAAGACCTCGGTCACCCCGCCCCCCGGCGCGGAAGGTTACCTTCCGAGCAGACCTGCCCAGGACATGCATATGCATGCGGGGCTGTTTGGGCACCCTCTTGGGCCCTGGTGGGTCAGAGAGTTTATCCCCTGACCCCAGGTTTGGGGGAAGCCAGACCCACTGACAGATTACCGCATGGAAATGGGTAAAGCCTTGGTAAGGGCAAAGGACCAGAAGCGTTTAGTTTGTGAAAGCAGATGGTACTGAGAAACGTACTGATTTAAATATATAGGCATCAGTATTAACGAGGCCACTAGTTGGCATGGTGATCTAACTTCTCTTATTTCATGAAATAGGATATTTTTTTGTTATGTCATTTAGAATTGTGAGGCCAGGAGAACAATGAAAATCGTTGGGGAGTTTAAGGGATCTGTAGGAAAGGTGCGATGTACTATTTTCATTTTCCCAGCTAAATTATACATTTTTAAAAGGAAAAAGCACAAAACGACTCTTAGCGTTACAGATCAGCCCCGCCTCTCCTCCAGCAATCTACAGATGTTTGACATGCAATTGATGTTCAATAAAAGTATAGGAATCAACATAGTGGTTAGGACTTAGAGGGGCATTTGGACCTCACACCCCAAACCTCCAAAAGCACCTTTGGAGATTAAAAAATAGGAGAGAAAATCAGGAACATTGATTACATAATCATCTCCAAGCAAGGGGGTCTCCACTCCGCGGATATGACAAGCGCAGAAACATGGTATTAATAGTATGGCAAAGAAGCTGGCGTTCTATACGTTACTGTGTGAGGCCACGTAGACTGCAATTGTGTACATTCATAATTTTGTAATAAAAAATGTTGCTTATTGAAAAGACACTGTGTGTGTGTGTGTGTGTGTGTGTGTGTGTGTGTGTGTGTAATGTTCTAAAGAAGCAACCTGCCAAGGTAGCAGCCTGGAAAGCCCAGGAAAAAAATGGATGAGGGAAGGGAATGGAGGTGGGTGATCCCATCAGCATAGGCAGGGAAAGACGGAAGAGACATGGTGAGAATTTTGAGGTGTCTGGGAAATGTATAACCTTAAAAAAGCTGAGGGGAAAAATTCCGGATTAGAAGTCAGAAAGCCTGATTCCTGGCCGGGGCCCTGCCCTTCACTGGTTAAATAACGCGCACTGGTGGTGATCCTCACATCAGGAGAGCAGTTGGCAGGGTTTTAAAAGCTTTCTGGGCAAGCTTCCTGCTCTCGGGGTCCCGTTCCTCTCTCTGCTCTGGGCCTCCCTAGAAGATCTTCGCTTTCCAAGAGAGGCAAGGCAAGACCGAAAGAACTTAAACAGAAAAGCAAATGTCAGCCCTCAAAGCAGGCCTCGGACGGCGGAGAACCTGAACGTTCGGAAGCCTGGCCGATGGTGCTCGGGCGCTGTAAGGAGAGGCCCAGCACACACAGGGCAGGGAGGGGTAGTGGGTGTTTCGGGAGTTGCATCTGACGTCACAGCTTGTCTGGGTGGAACATGCATGCACTTGCAGAGATATGTTCCCATATAGTGTAATTGCGGGTGTTTTAATTCAGGCGTCACCCCTCTCTTCCCTCTCCACGCGGCTTTCCTCCTCCATTTTACTGCCCTGAGTAGATGATGGGTGGGATGCCGGGCATGTAGCTACAACGCTGGCGCTGCTTTATGAGCGCCCTGGCATTCCCTGAATCGGTTAACATCCCGAGGCTTCCTGAGAGCGAGCCCCGCCCCGGCACATTCTTAGTCTTTTCCTTTCCAAGAAAGAAGCTGGGGCGCAGAGAACTCCTGGCTGGAAAGGGAGTTCCTTTCCTTTCCACGGGCCTAAATAAGACCAACAAGCACCCTGCTTCAAACTATTCTGATCGTGTAAAAGGGGAAGAAAAAAAAAAAAAAGTTTAGAAGTTCACCAAACTATTGTGAATGAGTTTGATTCTAATCGCTTGCTGGCAGAGAATATGGAATAAAATATCTCATTTGCAGTTGTTTATTTCCTGTTGTGGCTTCTATTTTCATCTTTTAGTCACTTTGGTGATAGATATCAAACTGAAATCATGGTGCAGCCACAAGTCACGGAGACCAAAATAACTCGAAGCGGAGCTATGACAAACCAGGATGGAGTCGGCTCAAGACCTGGCTACTTCATCACCGGCCCCTGGCACGGACGGTGGCGGGGGCTGCCACTTGACTGACCGCCGGTGAAGCATCCAGAGGGGAGAGGAAGCCGGAGGGACGTGTCTCCTAGGCCCCAGGTCCCCAGCACTCAGAGCCCCAGAGTGCATGGGAAGTGGAGGACACATGGTGGCCAGGGGGCCGTGGACGTGAGAAAGAGGAAGGCAGAACAATAAGAACCCATAGAACTCACCTCGGCTACAAGCAGCCCTAAGCAAAAGCAAACAGACAGTTCTATCCAGGGAAGACGGGGTCCTTCCTTTCCGTGTTTTTTTCTCCTTCTCAGGGGTTCCTGGGAAAGAAGGGCAGAAGGAGGCCCAACAGGGGTGAGGGCAGGGGTGAAGCCGAGATGAGGCAGGGATAAGGATTTCTCCTTGCAGAAGCCAAAAGAGAAAACAGTTGGGAGAGGCCAAAAAAAGTATCGGAAAATACTGACATTTCTTACACAACTGTCCCCTGAAAAATGTGTGAGTGAGCCCCAAACCATCCCGCATGGGCAGCCACACACACGGAAGCGATGGCTCGGGAAGGGAAGCCAGCGGCGCCTGCAGCCAACGTGAGAATCAGCACTTCTTGGCTTATCTTAGCGGAGCAGGAACGTGAGTGAATGAAAATGCAGGTAATTCACAATCAAACAGAGAGGCTCTAAGCCCTGACTCATCAGGTATTCTTGTCTTCCAGACAAGCTGTCAGCTGAACCACAACACTTGCCAGGTGGCCATCCAGAGCGCTCAGCCAGGTACTGGGAGCTGAGGGAGGGCCGGGCGGGAATGCATATTGCTTATGGAGAACACATGAGAGACATCCAAAAAAGTAAAGGTCCAGGACAATAGGGAGGGACACTTCACTGTAAATGGTTTTTTGTACCATTTGAATTTTGCACCATGAGAATGTATTACTTAAAAAAAAAAAAAGTACAGACTTAAAGATCATTTTTTAAATCCCTGCCTGCTTTTCTCATTTTTTGAAATTTGCTCTTTTTTTTTCTTTTTTTTTTAAGCCTTGAGGATATGCTTAGAGAGAGGGAGGCTGAGAAACATCAATGTGAGGAACATTGATGTAAGAGAGAAACATTGAT